ATGAGCTGAAGTGAAGTTTCAAGAGGCATGTATAAGTTTTATATTAGGCAATCTTAACTCCTTGGGTATCTCTAAACAGTATCTATACATCAAAGAGGATAATTACGTTTGGTCTCATTAAGAACAATTACAGCACAGTCATATAACCTAAACTTCTACCTCCACTCATTCATTTTTAATAATCTTTGCCAATAGATTTTAATCCTGAAATTCCAATAGAAAAAAGGATGTCAGGTATTCAACTAACAAACATATCTTTTTTTCCTCCCAAGTAAAAGACTAGACAAAAGTCTTTTGTCAACCTAAAACACCTCTATAACAATGTTATTTTTATTTTGTAATATTTTCAAAGATTATGGTAAAATAACAGCTAAATATTTGAAGTTAATTTTCAGATAGTCTATAGATCTCTCCCATTATCTTCCTTTTTCCTTGACATTTACTCAGTTTCTAAATTGGGATTGTTATCTCATTTTTTATTAACTCTTTCCTTTTTATTATAATTTCAATTGGTATATATATATATATATATATATATATATATATATGTATGTGTGCCTGTGTACATATGTAATAATTATACATATTTACTTAATATAGTTTTCCAGTACATGTGTGCTGTCTGTACTTAAATATTATAATTTCTCATTTACATGTTGGGTGTACATATTGATAGGGCACAGTATCTTTTTTAAAAAAAAAAAAGAGATTTTTGGCATAGGGCACATGCATTTGCCAGAGAGACAGAGAGAGAGAAAGTGAGAAATCATTCCCTGAAGAGATAACTGAAATCCCTTCTCCATTCTCCTCCTGGGAGTTTTCGCAAGCACTTGGGCCCAGAGTGAATTTCAAGCTGTTGGGTCTAAGATTCAAATCATGATTAACCATGTGAGAATTCAATACCTTAGCACTATGCCACACACTAGCATCCAGTGAAGTTTTTTTAATACACGTATATGATGCGTAATGATTAAATCAGGGTTATAAGCATATCCATCATCTCAAAAACTCATTGCTATCTGGTGTTATGAACATTTGATATCCTCTCCTCCGGGTAGTTTGGAATATACATTTAATTGTCACAAACTGCAGTTCCTCTACTGTGCTACAGTACTCCAAACTCATCTCAATCGCCTACCTGTACTCTGGTACTTTTTAGCCAAGGTCTCCATATCCTTGTCAGCTTCCTCCCCTTCCCAGCTTCTGGTAGCTATCCTTTCACTTCCTACTTGCATGCAATCAAGTATTTTCATTTCCACTATGAATAAGAACATGTAGTGTTTGTCTTCCGGTGCCTGGCTTATATATTTATTTATTTTTAGCATAATTTCCTCCAGGTTTATTCATGTTGTCACAAATGACAGGGTTTCATCTCTTTTATGACTGAAGAATATTCTATTGATTGTTTTTGTTTATTTGTCTTTACAATAGGGTATGTGTGCTCACTGGCGATAGGGAGAGAGACAGAGACAGAAAGAGGAAAAAGAAATCACTTCGTGGGGAAGATAGCCATGCTGCAATTCCTTCTCTTCCATTGTCCTCTCAGGATTTTAGGCATGCACATGCACACAACCTATATGAGTTTTAAGTCACTGGGTCTGGGACTTGAACTGTGGTCAACTATGTGGGAGTCCAATGACATAACTGTTATGCCATCTGCTGGTCCCATTAAGGGTATTTCTAAGATTTGTTTCATTTAAGTGGGAACTCTTTAAAAAGTTTTGTTCAGGGACCTAGAATTTCCTTGAAAAATTATAGAGTATTCCCCTCATGAACTTGACATTATGGCACATGCTAGCCTAGCTAAATGATAGTTATTACACTTCATCTTATGAATTTAAATTAATATTCAGAAATATGACTGGTGTGGTAATGAAAAGATTTTGGCAGAAGCAATTGTGAAGTCTTTGACAATTACAGTTGAGAAAATATACTGAGATGGCTGGGATATCAATTATGAAATAACCTTCCAACTTGACATTTTGGGAATTTTATATTTCCCAGCATTCTAAAGCAGAAGACAGACTGCTCTAGTAATCAAACTTATCTCCGAGTGTCCTGGGAATCTAAAGGCAAATAAAAAATGTAGAGAGAGAAAGTGAGAAATCATTCCCTGAAGAGATAACTGAAATCCCTTCTCCATTCTCCTCCTGGGAGTTTTCGCAAGCACTTGGGCCCAGAGTGAATTTCAAGCTGTTGGGTCTAAGATTCAAATCATGATTAACCATGTGAGAATTCAATACCTTAGCACTATGCCACACACTAGCATCCAGTGAAGTTTTTTTAATACACGTATATGATGCGTAATGATTAAATCAGGGTTATAAGCATATCCATCATCTCAAAAACTCATTGCTATCTGGTGTTATGAACATTTGATATCCTCTCCTCCGGGTAGTTTGGAATATACATTTAATTGTCACAAACTGCAGTTCCTCTACTGTGCTACAGTACTCCAAACTCATCTCAATCGCCTACCTGTACTCTGGTACTTTTTAGCCAAGGTCTCCATATCCTTGTCAGCTTCCTCCCCTTCCCAGCTTCTGGTAGCTATCCTTTCACTTCCTACTTGCATGCAATCAAGTATTTTCATTTCCACTATGAATAAGAACATGTAGTGTTTGTCTTCCGGTGCCTGGCTTATATATTTATTTATTTTTAGCATAATTTCCTCCAGGTTTATTCATGTTGTCACAAATGACAGGGTTTCATCTCTTTTATGACTGAAGAATATTCTATTGATTGTTTTTGTTTATTTGTCTTTACAATAGGGTATGTGTGCTCACTGGCGATAGGGAGAGAGACAGAGACAGAAAGAGGAAAAAGAAATCACTTCGTGGGGAAGATAGCCATGCTGCAATTCCTTCTCTTCATTCTCCTCTTGGGATTTTGGACATGCATGTACACATGAGGGTGGCATGATTTTCAATGACAGGTCCACCACTGGAACTCTGGTTGATCATGTGGAAAAACAGTACCTTAACTACCATTCCACCTGCTGGCCTCCTTTGTATCATTTTTAAATCAACTCTGATGCCATAGTAATTGGAAGGATAAAGAAAGAAGGGAGAAAGAGAAGGAAATCCTGGAAGTAAATAGGGTGATTGTTGATTTTAAAAAGTATTATTTATTTATCCCACAAGCAAGAGAGATGGAGGGAAAGGAAGCGATCAGAGATTCAATATCCTTAACAGGGTCGTGGTGATATCATCTACCCCTAGCCCCAGGCAGTCCCAGATCATAGGCATGTACATACTCAGGGAGGACTTTAGACATAAACTTTGAAGGCTCATATGTGGGTCAGCCTTGCAAAGCATGTGTTCCATGCTATGCCACTGTTCAGTCCCTAGATTATTTTTAAATGTGAGAACAATATTTAAGTATAGGAACAAAAATGATTTTGTCACCAAATAAAATGCCTTCTTTTGGAGAGTTTTTTTTTTTTTCTTTCTTGCTATAGGGCGCATGCGCTCGCCAGACAGACAGAGACAGACAGAGAGACAGAGAGACAGAAAGCGAGAAATCACCCACCAGGGGGTATGGCCATGCTGCAATCCCTTCTCCTCCATTCTCCTCTCGGGATCTTGGGCACACACGCACACGCACCCAGCGTGAGTTTAAACCGCCGAGTTCGGGACTCGAACCTCAGTTGACTACATGGGAGTCCAGCGACATAGCCATTACGCTAACTGCTGGTCCCATAAAATGCTTTTTATAATAATGTTTTGCCATGAGGTCAAAACCTAATTTACTGAATAGATATTTCTCAAAAACATATATATGAATGTCCAAGTACGTGAAAAGTGACTCAGCATCACTAATTACCAGAAGGATGTAAATCAACACCACAGTGAGGTCCCAATGGCTATTTTCTAAAAGACTAAAGTTACAAATGTAGAGCCAGTTGATGGTGCAGCAATAAAACATGACACTTTGCAAGGTTGACACTGGGAAAGTTTGAGTTCACATCTGGAGACCTCCCTGAGTGTGCCTGGCATGCATGTGCCCATAACCTTAGAGGGGCTGAAGTTAGGGGGTAAACAATGGTATTGAGGCCTTGCTGGGAATACCCACCCTGTGTTTGTGCCTCTCCTTGTCTTTTCCTTCATGGAAAAAAAAATAATCCCCAAAATATTTCTTTTAAACAACGTATATGACCCTGACCCACAACCTGACATCCCACATGAATGACCATAGTTCAAATCCCAGCCCTTGGAGGCTTGAAAAACATGCCAGGCAGGGCCAACCCATGGCATGGTCTATTCATGTCCTTAGTTCACTTTGTATCAGGTTATGTATGCATTTTTCTTTTGGATTCATTGAGTTTCTTACTTTTTTTCTGAATGCTGATCCCTTATTTATGACTAGAACACAAATATTTTCTGCCTACTCTACAGGTTGTTCCTTTACACTGTTAATTGCTTAATTTGCTTTATAGAATTAATTTAGTTTGATATAATCTCATTCGTCTATATTTGCTTGCACTGCTTCTGATTTTGAAGACTTATCCAATAACACTGCACAGACTCATAGCCTGAACTATTTTCCCTGTTTTCTCCTAGTAGTTTTAAACACTATTTTACTTTTATCCTTTTAAAATATTTTTTTCTTTCTTTTATCATCTTAGGTTTTTACATTCAATCACTCCATATCTTCTCTTATGTTTAAATTTTTGATTTGCTTTTTCTCATGTGTATATCCAGTTATTATGGCAGCATTTATTGAAGATATTGTTCTCTCCCCATTGTTCTTATTACCTTTCGATTGTTGAAAATCAGGTGAATATAAATATTTATTTTTATTTTTAAAAATCCAAAAAACCAAACAAACAAGAAAAAACCTAATTTACTGTATTCCTTAACACAAATTTTTCACTAAAACTATTCATTCCAATTAGGAAATTATTTTTTTATTCATTTTGTCCAAAACTCCTCTTCCCTTGCTATGTCTCTGAAACAACGACTGTCATTAAAATATTAATAAATGCTTTATGATTTTTAGGATATCAAAGTGTATAGAACAGGAATCTCTTAATTTAAGTTCTATAAACTTGGTCTGGCCCCTTGGCTTAGTGGATGAGTGAACTGGTTCCCACACAGATGTCTGCAGTTCTAATCCTGGCTCCAACAGCTTCAAAAACACACCAGGCAGGTATGAATGCATGCTCCAAAGTCCAACAGGATTAACAAATGGAGGAGGAGGGGTTGCTGTATGACCACACCTTGTTGCGAGTGATTTCTCCCTTTTTCTTCTCTCTCTTCTTTTTCTCTCTCTGGCAAGCACATGCTCCCTTTAGCAATTATATATTTAAACATATATAGATGTATATATATATATATATATGTAAATGTATACATATATACACACATATATTATATATAGTGTATGTCTATCTATATAATATATATGTATATTACATATGTGTGTGTGTGCGTTTGTGTGTAAACTACCCAGATTATCACAAGATGTCTTTGACTTATAGGTAAGCCTATAGAGAGTGAATAAAGAATTCTTTAGTATCATAAATTGACAACAATAATGTCTATATATTTTTTGCTTTCTGAAAGTTATGGCAATTTTTATATATCAATCGTTAAAACATAGGATTGCATTCCAATTCTCTCTTTTAAATTGTTATTCAAAAACAAACAAATGAAAAGCAAACCAAAATATGCATAAAAACTAGCCCAGAGTATGGAAGGAACAAGTTGCACACTGCTTAAATTGAATGAATGACTATTATTTTTTCCCATTTTATAGCTGGAAAATGAGGGACAGGAAAACCTTAAGTAACTTGCCTGAGGTCACTCAGTGAGGCTCAGCTGAGTCTGGGCTCTAACTCAGAAGTTCCCGATTCCCTGTGGTTGGGCCACAAGTTCATAGCCGCTGGCTCACAGCAGCTTCTGAAACATAATGGAGTTTTCCTGTAAGCCCTAGAGAGTCTTAGGATGCCACGTCAATGTGAGCACCTTCAGAAACCAGGTTACAAGGAAGGTCAGCAACCACAGTTCTTATTGCTTTAACCTTTCTGCCCACATTGAGGAAATTCACATCCAGGTAAGTTTTGCCAAAAGAAGGAAATGAGAGATAATTCTGGGAAAAATATTGTGGCCTAATATCCACAGATGAAAATTCACAGTGTGCGAAGCCTGGGAAAATTAACTTCTTTCTGCAATAGAAGTCATGAAATTAAACTTAGCATTCCTGGCAGCTGGCTTCTCACAAATATTTTTGCTTTTTCACAAATCCCAAGTGAAAAGTACTAACTCCAAGGAAAAATTAGAGTCAGCCCATTGACCAACTTGACCGTGTGACCCTAAATGCTTTGTATGCGCAGACTTAAACAGTTAAGTCTGGGAGTTTGAAGACAAATCAACTTGGATACAGGTAGAGCTAAATCAATTCCAAATACTCTGGCCCACAAAATGCAGGATTTCCTGTCCTGATGGATTGCAGTGCACTTGGGTGGGCTCAGAAGCTGTGAGAGAAAAACAAAACTAAATGCTTTTAAATTGACTCAAGTGACTGGATTGCTAACATTCAACACATGAAAATAATGATACTTAAACCTTACACGGCAAAAAGAAAATTAATAAAACATTAAAAAATAAAATAAAATCCATGCTCAGAGGACTGGGTTTTACAGAGAGAATGAACTTCATCACTGAGTTGCTCCTGTGTCATCAAAAGAAATAGAGCCCCGGACCCAGTGGCTTAAACTCACACCGGGCGCGTGTGTGTGCCTGCCCAAGATCCCCAGAGGAGAATAGAGAAGGGATTGCAGTGTGGCCATCCCCCCATGGGGGGTGATTTCTTGCTTTCTATCTCTCTGTCTCTGTCTGTCTGACGAGTGCACTTGCCCTATAGCAAAAAAAAAAAAAAAAAAAAAAAAAAAAAAAAAAAAAAAAAAAAAAAAAAAAAAAAAAAAAAGAAAGAAAGAAAGAAAGCAAGCAAGCAAGATGAGAGTTCAGTTTGTACCAGTTCTCTCTTCTCTGTCTTGTTTTCCTTTTGCCCTTCCTCAAGGCCCACCTCAGGTTCTAAGTAATTTTAAAGAAGCTTAGTATCAACCATAATGATTAAAACAAAGGAGAGGAAATGAATACCACCAGTTTTTATCTTTTGGAGTTGATGAGTTTTAGAAAGATGGCTAGCAGATCCAGTTGACTAAAGTAAGGGAAACAGACAGTGGCATAACTGGGAATAAAGTTATTTGGTAGACCTATGTAAAGGGCCACTTAGTAATAGATACCAAAATCAAAGACACACATGGCCTGTAAAAGAGCAGTGCCATTTTTAAAAACTTGTCTTACAAATATGTATTCACACATGTGTGCAATAGGGCATATACTATTCATCCAAAACATTCTTTGTGGTCCTAGTGACAGTTTACACAGTAAATATCCATCCAAAACAGTACCTTGGATAAATTAATATTACATATAAAATGCTATTTTTATAAATATGTTGTATTTATTTGTTTAAATAATTAAAATGATCTTCTAAATATGTTTTAAAAAGATGTTTGTACTGATTTAACAATTAAAAAAAGAATGAAATTATGTTTAGATATTAAGATAGGCTATCATGATATATTGATTTCAACATAAAAGAAAAAGGTTTTTAAAAATGTATATATTATGCTGCAATTTGTATAATAAAACGAAGTAAAGAGTATATATTTTCTGTACTTTTGTATCCTTAGATGTGTTCTGAAAGAGTATATGAGAAATTAAAAACATTGCTGCAGAAAAGATTTGAGGCAAGAGGAGTTTTACTAAAGTATTTTTTCACTAAATACTCTTTTATAATTATGAAATTTGAAAATGTATGTTTTTGAAAAAAGAGGTATTTACTAAATATTGTCACTAAATATTTTTTTCTCTTCAATTACATGTTTAAATCATTTCAAATTTGTGTAATCTTCAGTGCTACATATTAAATGTTTTTTTCTATATGATAGTACACAAGAGTAGTTCCAAAAATTCCTGGGTTTTGTTTCTTCTTTCAAGGGTTCCCTGTCCTGGCACTGGAAAGGTTTCCAACCTCATTTAAGTGACTGTTGACGCGACTCTGGCTCTGACAGGATGTGGCATGCAGCGTGATGGCAGACTTTCCACATGTCATGGACTGTCGCATCTCCAGGAATCCACCACGAATTAGAGAATATTTCTCAATGTCGGTATTTTTTACTTTTGAGAAAGACTGAATAGTGGAGACACATTAATACCTCTGAAAATCCCCAAAACTCATAATGACTGTGAAGTAGTTTCAATAAGAAAATAAAAGTCAAACTTTAAAATAAATCTGATTATAGAGTATTCATCATAGCACCCATTATGATTAAGGTTATAAAGGGCAATATATAGATGCTTATTAACTTCCAATTTAATAATAATGAAACATTATTCCTGATTATGAAGGAAATATTGTTCTTTGTACAGTTCTTTCATTTTTGTAAATATACTTAGAACAAAAAGAAAGCTTTTATATGCATTTGATTTTTTAAATGTTATATGTTTTAAACACATCCTTTTTTTTTTTCAGTTGCTAGAGGGCACATGTACCTGCCAGAAGGAGACCAAGTGTGGGAGAAATTACCCTCCAATGGGACATGGTTCCACTGTAATCCATTCTCAAACATTTTACTATAATCTTGGGATTTTGGACGTGCACACACATGCACAAACTCCTGGCATGTTTTTCAAGCCACTGGGGCAGTGATTTAAATAATGATTGGCCATTTGAGATTTGCTTCCCTTTAACCATTAGACTAAGGGATTGACTCCTTGTTTTAATTTTCAAAATAACTAAAAAAAATTTCCATTTCTCCTGAATTTCAAATCCCTCTGGCAAAGATTTACAACATGTTTTCCTTTGCTTGGCATTATATAAACACTGGGAATATTTAGTGAATGAAAACCAAACCACAAAAGTCAACAGCTAAATAAGTTAACTCATGAGAGCTCCAGTGCAGCATAGTTCTATGTATGATATCTTTTGAATAATTGATGTTCCTATTCACATGTCCTATCTCAGTGAATTTGCCTGCAAAGGTGTAGATGCATGCATAAAAATAGTAAATGACATTTTACTTTAAATGCGGAACAAGTAGTCACCTTTAAAAACAACAACAAAAAAAGAGAAGTTACTTGCTTTTTCTGTTTGTTTGTTTCAAATATAGGAAATGAGAAGGTACCAATCTATATATTTTGAAATTCTGACTTCTGGTTTACAAAAAATCCTTTTACATCTTTGTGGATCACAGCAAAGCTCTTCGAAGTATCATAATATATCTTGACCATATAAAGAATGTGTTAATAAGATGCTGTCAGGAATGGTACAAACTTGAAAAATACATTATTGTTATAATCTGGTGGATTTATCATAAATTGCTTCCCCTTGAATTACTTGCTGAGGTCTAGAATAATTTTAAAGGTATATATGGGAAGATATTTACCTTGCATTTCTTATGGCTATATTTTACCTATAGTGACAAATACAGATTATTTTATTTAAACTTATATTTTATCCCACTTCTTTTTTTGTAATATCTGTTTTTTTATTTTTTATTATTATTAATTTATTAAATCGCTATACAACATATAGATTGTGAAGAGACTTTACCCAGCATGATATACACCTCAGTCCAGCCCAGTTGAAACCATCATACACATCCTCATCAACAAATAATAAATCTTATCTGTGTCCCACAAATGTCTTACTTCTCCATTTCCTCCCCCCCAAATTTTCTTCGCAGTTCCCCTCCCGCACTCTCTTTCCACTTTGGCTCTAGTGTCCATTACAATTTTTAATACTTTCATGTTCTCCAATCTTTCAATCTCTACCATAGAGAGTGAACAGTCAGTTTACATTAAGTGGAGACATACAACGTCTTTCTCTTTCATAGCCTGACTTGCTTCATTCAGCAACAAATCTTCATATTCATCTACTTTCTGTCAAATTCTAGGACTTTGTTGTTTTTTATGGCTGAATAGTATTCCATGGAGTATATATACCACATTTTTTCAATCCATTCATCAGTTTGTGGACATTTGGGTTCGTTCCATGTCTTAGCAATTATGAATAATGCTGCAATGAAAATAGTTGTGCAAAGCACTTTTTCAACTGAGTGTGTTGCTGTCCTTTGGGTAGATATCCAGGAGTGGAATTGCTGGATCATATGCTACTTATACTTGAAGGTCTTTGAGGAACCTCTATATCATTCTCCACAGTGGTTGGACCAATTTACATTTCTATCAACAGAGTAGGAGTGTCTCCACTTCTTAAACCTTTCTTTTTTTTTTTAATTTGCTCCCACCAATACTCCTTCCTACTAATAACAGTTTAGAGGATAGTTTCAGATTTTTTAAAAAATATTGGGTACATTCAAGCAATCTTACATTTTTAAAAACATTTAGGCCATTCTGCTTTTTTATGTTTTGTTTTTAGCTTTTGCTATAGGGCACATCTGTTCGCCAGAAACAGAGAGAGGAGGAAAAATAAGAAACCACCTTCCCTAAGGAGGATGACCACAGCATCATCTCTTCTCCTCCATTTTTCTCTCAGGGTCTTGGGTATGCATACACATGTGCCTGGCATGATTTTCAAGTCACCAGTATTGGGACTCAAACCATAAAGTTAGCCATATGGGACCTAACACCTTAACCACCACACCACTTGCTGGCCCCAGTCAGTTTGCTTTTCAAAAAACATGCAATAGCATTTTATATTTTAGAAAAATTGTAACATTCAAATCTTTTATATAAGATGGAGGGTACAAACATAAGATGAGACAAGTATTCTGGCCACATTTTAAGCTGCAATTGAAGTTCTACTCTATGAATTGGGATCATTCACTGTTGGTATTGGGTTTATCCTTTACTAGCTCCTTTTTAAATGTCTCAAAACAATGTTAAGTAGTAATAGCTCCTGAGGTTTTCATTCTCATGGGTGTATTTTCAAAAATCTTTTGCAGATGGAATAATGGTTACATCACTGGGCTCCCATAGAGTTAACTGTGGTTCAAGTTTCAGACCTGATGGCTTAAAACTTACACCAGGTGTGTGTGCATGCATGCCCAAAATCCCGAGAAGAGAATGGTGAAGAAGGTATTTCAATATGGCCATTCCTCTAGGGCGTGATGTCTTGCTTTGTCTCTCTGTTTCTCTGGCAAACACATGTGTCTTATAGCAAAAATCTCTCTAAAAATTTAATAAAAGGTTTTCTTTAAAAAAAAAAAAAAAAAACTAAAACAAAACTCTGTTACTCTTGGGGTGGCAGCCTGGGCAGAAGATTTGGACATCACTTTAGTACTCTCACTCTAACTCTTGGAACTAGTTTTGCCATTATAGCTAAAGTTTTACCTCCCTATTGATTTCATCTCTCTAATTAAAATTTGCTAACTTGCATTTGCCATTAGAGAGACTCAACAACTGCTATGTTCCTTAACTGCGTGATTCATGATGAAGGTCTCTTTCGTTTGCTCAGAAGCCCAGCCCACCACAGTGAGTCTGCTGTACTCACCTAGAGAAGTGACATTTACCAGGGCACAGCACAGTGTATGTGTGTGTATATATACACACACTACATTTGAGTGTCATAGCTATAAATAGAAAACATTTCGAACCCAGCTTATAGGAGTATGAAAGTATAGGAATCAAACACCTGTAATGCAGGGGGCTTCTTATGGGGAAAAATTTCACAAAGTGAGAGGAGGTACACTGTACTTACATTATATTAGAAAAGATACGAACTATAGAAAATTGAACAGCTGAAGTAGATATATCTGCATGGGATTCAGTGGGGGGTAACTTAATACTATTTCTCTCATCCCATCTTCAAATGAACCAATGAAGTGACAAATGTTACATGTAGTTGGAAATAAAATTTTTACTGTTTATGGAAGCTGTATTGGAGACAAGACAAATACCTGACTAAAAGCTCCAGTTTTTCAGTATATTACAATGTTTCTACTACAGTCACAGGCAAAACTTATGAAACTGGGTGTTTCTACACTATGGATAGAACTCTCTTCACACACTTTAACTCTATACAAGAGAGCAAATATGAATATTTGTCCTGCCAATAGACTGGCTATAAAATAAGAAGAGAAAAGGGGGTTGGTCTCAGTAAGCAAAGTTTTCCTCTCACACATACCACCAGTTAAATCTTATTTCCTCCCATAGAGAAAGTGGGACAATCAGAAAGAGAAGCCAGGGATATCATTCAATTGGAAGTCCTTTCCATGTAGAAACATGCGGTTCAGGAACTGGAGACACTCCATTAATAATATGCATAAGATAGAAATATCTCAAATCAAATTAGGCCAAATAATATAAATTCGCCTTCAATATGAAGGAATTGTTAACAGTAAAATAAATTTTAACTTAGAAGAATTAGTCACTCGATACTTACACAAGGGTAAACTTTAGTCTGTGTTGGTACTTCCTAGCATCAAGATCCTTTCTCACTGGCATTTAGTTGCCTTAGGTGAGTGAAGTGGGAGACTTTGTATGTTCAGGGCTGAGCCATTAGCCCACCTCAAGACCTGGGCAGCAATCAGCTCTACCAAATCATGAGGCCTGAGAGGTAAATTAGAGGATTATTATCTGAAAGAAAAATGAAAGGGGAGTGAACCAAATAACTTATAGCTACTAAAACATCACTTTTAGGAAACAAATTAAAACCTCACATCTTCACAATGGACTGAAAAAATATACAATGTGGGAAAAGATATTTATTTTTTCAGGATCACACAAAAAAGTTATTAAAATCTTCAATTTAGTTATATCGAAGAAAACTATGGATACTTTTATTTTTAATATGTTTAAATTTTTTTAAAAAAATGAATGGACTCCTTTAGGTTCTAATTTTTTTAGAGGTTTCTGTTTATAGAACATGTGGACTCACCGAAGAGAGAGGGAGAGACAGAGACAGTGAGAGAGGCAAAGTGGGAAATCACCTCCCACCCAGGGGGGATGGCCATGCCACAATCCCTTCCTCAACATTCTCCTCTCAGGAGAATGCATGCACATGTTCCCAGCATGATTTTCAAGCCACCAGGTCTAGGACTTGAACCATGGTTGGCCATGTGGGATTCCAGTAATGCAACTACCATGCTATTTTCTAGTCTCCAGCTTTGCTATTAAATATATGTTTCTACAAATCTTTTCCAAACAATATATGCTTATGTACATATTAATTCACACATATAAACAATATAAACTGATATATTCTTATACATAAAGGTTAAAAACAATTTAGTATGAAAATTTTAAGCATTTCTTTTCTCTTTCTCTCTCTC